TGTATCAGGCAAACCAAGCAATTCTCTGCATATCTACCATATATTATCACATAGATATTACTACCAGTGCTCCAAGTCATTAATTAAGCAGGCTCCTCTTATGTGTAGATTATGCTGGCAGGTTAATTATGGTTACCAGATTACTGAATCAATAAATGAATGATGGAAACAGATTGCATACCTAGAAGTAGTTGTGTAAAATTAGAAAAGGAACAGAGGGGATATACTAGGGCAGGTTAATGGGAGATGTCATAAATTTGAATTTAGGCAAAAATGTGGATTAGTTTCAAGATCTGTTTGAAAAAAGAAAAAAATATTTTAAATGCTAATTGCAAGGAATAATAGAATAGGAATAATAATAGGAATAATAAAGTTATGCTTTTCTTCCCCAGGTATTGGTACTGTGTATAAATGTATTCCCTTTTTATGCCCTCATCTTAGTCTGCAAGAATTGCATCTGTTCTGTAGAGTCTTTTCCCCCACCTGAATTTGCAGGGCTATTGAAGGTGTGATAAAATACTTGCTTCTCTTCTGCAAAAAGCAGCAGGACTAGTTAGCTCAAAGCCAAGACCTTCCTTTTTGTTTGATATGCTGTTCATATCCTGTCTCACTGTGATGGGAATTATTTATATTTACCAAAAGAGTAAATATAACATAAATTGTTGCCATTATTTTTGTTGTGTTAGAATAATTTTTGTAAAAACATTTTCACTAATAATTAGCCCTAAAATTGGCCTTTCAACTTCGGTCACTAAAGGGAAATAGTTCACTGGTTCCTAACAGAAGAGACACCATTTAAAATGAAGGACATTACTCAGAAAGACTTTGGTTTCTTCATTCATGTTGCCTATGAGAAACTCTTTCAGAGATAGCATGGGCTGATAATATGCTCTTGACATAACTCTTCCTCAGCATAGGTGGAGCTGAAGGGTATTAACTCTTGCTGTAATTTCAAACACTACTGGACCGAACATATGCTGCTCCCAATAGCTTGGGTAGCAATTATTGGCAGTGGCATCGAGTTCCCCCTTCTGTATTCTTCCACTAAGCAGCACAATGAAACAGTTGATTTTTCGGTTAAGTCTCAATTCCCTAGTTCACTGAATGGTACTGGAGTTAAATCAGAAAGTAATTTGACAGATAGAAAAGGTGGTAATTTGACAGGTGGAGCTATTTCTGAGGAGTGGAGCTTAACACAGAATATTCAGGTTGGAAAGGTTGTAATTTGCGGTAATGCCAAGGAGTACAGATTCGCACACTGAGCTAGTGCTGCAGTGCACTTGCACCCTTGTGCTCTTAGTGTTGTCTCTTCTAATAACAAAAGCATGAAACGGTACCTTGGGGCTCTCCAGCTGAGCAGGGTGGCCAAGGGCACGGGTCTCTTCTGCTTCCAGTTGTGCTGGTTGAAAAAGCTACTGCTCCCAGTTGCATATCACAGCATCTTTGCTGAAGGTGTTGGTCCTCCTGAACCATCAGAGCTCGCTGGTCTACTTGGGTGACCATTCCTTCATCTGGCTCAGTTCACAGAGGCAGAATTAACTAAAAGCCTTTAGATAATGTCTTCACTGACTTAGTTCTTTCTGACATACGTAAGCTAGAGAGTACTTCCATGTGCAGCACGCCTGGCAAATTTGAGGGGTCTGCAATAATGAGATAGTAACCTTTGGGTCAGAAGAGAAGGTGTGTGCAAGACCTTCTGTGTTCTGGCTGACCACTTAAGTTATTCTTCCCTCTACAAGCCCCACCATCCATTTTGGTCACCCTGGAAGATAACTTGTCTTTGACCCATCTGTGACCATTAGCACTTCATCCCTCTGTGTCACTTTCCACCTTTTCATTTGGTTTTTTTTCATCTGTTTAAACTGTGAACTTCTTGGAAGAAGGGCTCTCTGTTTTCAGGATGCCAAGCAAAACAAAGCCCCGATCTTGTTCAGGTCCTTCAGTTTCTGCAGAAATAATTAATGAGGTTTTGTGTGAGCTGTTGCAAACGTGCCTAGAGACTGCTAGATTTGCCTACATGGTTGCCGTACTGCACGTTGGCCAAATTGTTGTTCGTAAAGCAATTTTGTCTCTAATATAAAAGGCACTGTATAAAATCAGGTCCTATTATCTTTTCATAGAGAATTTTCCATCTGAATTATAAGGTTAGAATTGCTGACTATCTCCTTAAACACTTCCAGATAATAACAATACATGTTCTTCCAGCTAATATATATCGTTACTTTTTATCAAGCAAGGCTTGGTTCATAGCTGCAGAAATAATATGATTTACTGGCCTCCAGCCAATTAGTTAATTGCTTGCTAGTTACTTAAAGCACCTGGGGGTTTGGTTCATTCCAGTGTAAGTTATTAACTTGCTGGTAAAGGATCAGTACCTCATAAATGGTTTCTCTAAATAATTTTACAATCCTGCGGAAGTTTAGTTTTATTATTATTATTATTTATAAGAATAAATATGTGGGGGCAACTTTAAATTGCAGTTATATAAGGCAACTATTTTGATTTGAGATATCAAATAGCAGCCCCATATCCATGTGAACAGCATGCAAGTGTCATAGACCTGTTACTTAGGCACCTTCAGGTCTTTGGGAGAATCTCAACAGTTTTACATGTACCAGACTGATTGAGGACTGATTTGTTTTGTAAAACTTACTTTGTTTTGGTTTTTTAGTCATGTTGTTTTAAAATAATAAGATCAGGTGAAGAGATCTTAGGCCAGGCTTCACTTGTGGTAAGTCCATTGAGATAATTTGTAATAGTTAAGGCTCTGGCTGTCTTAAAGTAATTGAGACAGATAACAGACTTTCATCTCTCTTTTTCTGTATCTCATCCCTTTTTTTTTTTCCCAGAAGTCATAAGCCGCTTATTTGTTTAAAATGTGGGAGACTAGATGTAAAAATCACTGTTCTCAGAAGGAAAAAGCTGGGCTGTCTTTGGCCCGGGAAGCATCCTTTAGGCAGGTTCTGTACCTGAAGTTAAAAAATAATTTTTCTGCAGCCTTCTTACGGTTTTGGTAATAAAGAGTGTCTCAACTGATGAATTGCTTTTGTAGCTCAAGGGGAGAGAAGAGATTCTGTGATTGCTTAGGTCCTAGGCCTTGCTTGGATGCCTCATATGGGCTAGATGAAGTGATGGACAGGATAGCTAATTTAAGGACAAGTGTTACACACTCTTCTTGCAGTGGGCCATTACTAAATTCTGTGTGAGCTGAACTCCCTGAGAGAACTTAACAAATATGCCCAGGTGAAAGGAATTGCATTAATCCAGTTTCAGTTGTAACCTCAAGTAAGAGGAGAAGTTAAAAGCTTCCAGTCAAACACAGTGGGCAAAAAAGGTTGTTGTTCTTGTCTTGTGATGTTTATATTCATCAGGATGGATGAGGAACCTGGCAAGAGCCTGAAGCAGCAAATCGTCATGGTAAGTGGCTGGCTAGCTACCATAATTCAGAAATGATCTCAGCTAATAAATTTGTGAGGATCAAATCTGCTTGACCTTGGCTTGTTAACATGGGTTAGGATGGTGGCTGGAAGAAGTGGGTGAAGTAGGATAAGGAGACAGAGAAGAGCACGGTCTGCGCAAGAAGGCTGAGAGAGGTAGTGCTTACCATAGTGGTACTGTAATACTATGGACAAGAGAGAACAGGAGTCACTGGATCAGGAAAAATATAAGTTTGTATAACTGCTGAGAGGTGGTTCTAACTGAGAAATAAACACCAAAGCAAAGCAGCTTTAGCTGAAAATTGGATTCTCAGCAGCAGGAAGTGCCTTTTCTGATTGTTTATATCTTTTTTCCCAAAACTTGGGCAGGCTGTTCCTTTTCTTTGT